GGGGGATACAAAATGAATAAAGTGTAATTAATAAAAAAATAAAAAATATATATTTATAATTAGTAAAAAAAAAAAATGAAATTCCAGTGACTCTAATTTTCAAAAATGCTGTAATTTTAAAAGCTGTCTGGAGACTTACACATAATATACTTTAAGAAACATCCAACCAAGTTTCTCAACTGTTCGTCTCATCAATGTACTCAGTACAATCTCCAACAGCAGCCTGGCTACTGTTAGTTACATACTTTCCTTAGTTATCCCCTTTTCACAGGACCAAGAATTCACTAGCAACTGGTTATTAAACCCTTAGTTCATTACTATTTTTACTTGCCTTCCTTAATGGGTGAACCATCGCAAAATCAGTTTATTCAGTGATACGTTCCTACAGTCTCTCATGTAAAAAACAGAGGGCAACTACACTCTTTACCACTCTCTTCCTTCTATCTCTACATTGTCTTCTACAATCACAAAGTATCACCAATTATCAATAAATCAGTGTCTAGGAGAATGCAGTTCCATTACACATACATTCACGTAGTTATGTGATAGTTGATGTCAGACTATATCTAAAAGTAAGTGACTTTGACACCAGCTAAAATTCAGGAAACTAATTGTTGGTGAAGTAGAAGGAATAAAAATATAGACTAATATAGATTGTCAGGTCATCTTAGAGTTTGTCAAATGTTCTTTAATTTGGTACAGCAGAGTTTTAAAAGGTGGGCATGATTGCAGGGAATGAAATTCTTTAGGCAGAGGGAGGAACAGAGTTTCTCCGAATAGCCCTGGCTGTCCCAAAACTTACTATATAGTCCAGGCTGACCTTGAACTCAGAGATCTGCCTGCCTCTGCCTCCCAAGTGCTGGGATCAAAGGTGTGGGCTACCATGCCTGGCTAGGGGAATGAAATTCATAAAGGAAACGAGACCCTTAAGGGAAGCTTTAAAAATGTAGTTCCATGCAGGGCAGTGGTGATACACACATTTAATCCCAGCACTTGGGGAGGCAGAGACAGGGGGATTTCTATGAGTTCAAGGCCAGCCTGGTCTATAGAGCTAGTTCTAGGACAGCCAGGGCTACAGAGAGAAACCCTGTCATATAAGGAGAGAACTGTTCTCTGATCTCCACATGCACACCATCCCCACACACAAATAAAATAAATAATAATAAATAAAATAAATAATAATAAAATAATAAATAAATAAAATAAATAATAAAGATTTTGTTTATTTGTTTTTGGGACAAGGTCTCTCCTCACAGCCCTGGCTTTCCTGAACTCACTATACAGACATCTGTAATCCCAGTTCTCTGGGAGGCAGAGGCAGGTAGAGCTCTGTGAGTTAAAAGCCAGACTGGTCTAAAAAGCGAGTCCAGGACAACCAAGACTATACAGAGAAACCCTGTCTCGAAGGGTTAAAAAAAAAAAAGGCATGTGCTACCACTGCCTGACAGCAAAAGGGTTCTGAAAATACAGAAAACAAAAATCAACGCAAAATCAAAACATAACAAAGCTGAGGTGTTTCTAGCCATGCTGGCCTGTGCACTGTGGGATTTCACTGTACCCTCGTTCTAAACACACTTGTACTTTGCACTGAACTCCATCTTTCCATGCAAAGCAAAGAACATTGTCTGAGACACCCCAGCTCAGGTCTGAGACGCCTCTATGTTGTGAACTGTGGTTTTCATTGTATACACAGACATTTCTGAACATCATGGAAAACAAAGACTTAGTGTTTTCCTGTTACATTCTTCAGCATTTGTCAAATTAAGTTATCTTTGGATTGCACTGTGGCAGAATATTTGATTTTAAAAACTGTTCGAGCTGCTGACTTCAGTTTCATTAAAGAAAAATCATTAAATGAATTTTGGCTTGGGATTAGGACAGAATTGCCAACCGCTCCTGAAATGGCCTTAAACCTACTTCTGCCATTTTGTACTATGTATTTATGTAAAGTAGCATTCTCAGCACTGACAATCATTAAATCAAAATATTGATCAACTGAAAAAATGTTGATGATGCTCTATGCCTTACAGTAGCAAATATTCAGCCAAGACTGATTTCTTCATGTAAATTAAGCAAGCACATTGTTCTTACCAATATGAAAATTTTGTCTTTGTTATACAGTAAAATTATGTGTATACTAAAGAGTTCTTTTAAAATAAATGTCTTCAGCCTAGAAAAATGGCTCAGTGGTTACTGCCCTTGAGGAGGCCCCAAGTGTAGTTTCCAGCGCCCTGGTTGGACAGCTCACAACTGCCTGTAACTCCAGCTTGGGGGGATCCCACACCGTCTTGTGGCCTCTGTGAGCACTGCATTCTTGTACACATAGCCACACACAGGCACGGACACACACACACAATTTTAAAAACTAAATAAATCTTAGAGTAAGTTTGCCTAATTATAAATCAACATTTAATTTGCACACTTCTCTATACACACTCACTGGGATGCTTAATATTGTCTTCTTGACAAGATCTAGAATCACCTATGAGAAAAACCTGGTCATGTCTATAAGGAGTTTTAGATTGGGCTGACATCAGAAGACCCATCCTAAATGTGGGTGACACCATTCCATGGGCGAAGATCCTTAACTGATCTTCTGAGAACCTGAGAACCGGAGCTCAATCTCCCTAACTTCTCCCCGCCTGCAGATGTAAGCAAACAGATGCTTCATGCTCCTGGTGCTTTGCCTTCGCTACCATGTTGGAACTGTAGGTAGAAACAAACCTCTCCCTCATTGGGGATCTTGTTAAAGCAACGAGGAAAAGTAACTAACACCTCTACGTGTGTGGTGCCTGGGTGGGATGGGTTAGAAGTATACAATGTTTAAAGAGCCCTGCCTCTAGGTGTTGCTATTTGTGTGTAAACACGAGGAATCCACCCTCCCCGTCCCCTAGTACAGGGTCTTGCTGGCCTGAACTGGGCAGAGCAGGGTAGCCTCTAACTTGTACTGTTCCCCCTTGCCCATGACTCCAAATGCTGGGATTGCAGTGTGCTCTGCTATGCCTTTCCCTTGCATTCTTAGCCAACCACATACATGTCCTTGCTATAACGGGTATCACTGAACATAAACCTTTTATGGTACAACTAAGAAATATGCATTCTTACGAAAATTACTATAATAACTTTACTACAATAAACAAAATTTTCCAAAGTTACTAGACAAATATATACTGAATTTCATTTGTGTATGAATATTAGTCCAAACCAACTGCATAAGCCAATAAATTCAATTACATTTATTAAAAAGCCTTCCTTCAGATCCCATTAAAACTGACTGAAAACTCAGACAGACAGAAAAGTTAGAATTCTATAGCGGCATGGGGAAAGGACAAAGACTTGTCAAAAAGCAAACAGCTACCAAGTTTCTGGGATGTCTAAAGGAGAATCAGGCTCACAGAAAGGGGGCTACTATCCCTGCAGTCTGTTTTAACATGGGCAAAAATGGTCATTTTATTACAGAAGTGAATGGGTTCTCCAAAAACATTCAGTAAAAGCACCAGGTCAGAAAAATGGCCAAGTTCAGGAGTAGGCTGTCCATCAAGCCAGCGGGAACTGAGCCCTGAGGATGACAGTTTTTTCAACTGGGTATGAACGGCTTGAATAGTTAGGCTGGGAACTTGCTACAACTGGTTCTTAAGAAGGGAAGGGAACAGTGAGAGATGATAGGTGAGCAACATGCTATTTTAGTTAACTGAGCTAAAAAGGAAAAAAGGATTGTAAACCACTACCAGAGGCAAAAAATAAAAGAAATAGCCCAGTAGGGGGAAACCTGCAATGCGCCTGCCACGCCTGACAACTGCGAAGGTGTTCACAGCGAGAGCATTAAACCCTAAGTGCAAGCTGGCTCATTCAAGGCAGCAGTGCACACCCAGTACCGGCGTGACTGGAAGTGGTTATAGGCGGATGCTAGAAATAGTCCTCTCAGCTTCACAGGGCCATCTGACATACAAGGGGGCTTGTCTTCTGATCCCAAACCCATTAAAGTCTTTTCTAGAGTGGAATTCCAAAAGGTACAGTCTGCTGGTCCTTGAGAGTCACACTGGAGCTGTAGAGATAGCTCAGTGGATAAAAGCACTGTTTTTGCAGAGGGCCAAGTTCACACACAGAGCTCGATGGCTATAACCACCACTAACGCCAGGTCCAGAGAGACCTCGTGCCTCTGATCGTCACAGGCACCTGCACTCGTGTGCACAAACCCACAATACACATAATTAAAAATAAAGTATTTTGTAAAAAGAGTTTGTTGGGCTGGACAGATGGCTCAGAGGTTAAGAATACTCACTGTTCTTCCAAAGGTCCTGGGTTCAATTCCCAGCAACCACATGGTGGGTCATAATCATCTAAAATAAGATCTGGTTTACAAGCAGAATGTTGTGTAAATAATAAATAAATCCTTAAAAAAAAAGTTTGTTAAGAGCCAGGTGGTGGTGGTCCATGCCTTTAATCCCAGCACTCCCACTCTGGAGGCAGAGGCAGGTGGATCTCTTGAGTTCAGAGCCAGCCTGGTCTACAGAGTGAGTTCAAGGACAGCCAAGAGAAACCCTGTCTTGGGGGGAAAAAAAAATTCAAAATCATATTTGGCTATAGTGAGTCTACAACCAAGCTGGGCTACATGAGACCCTGTCTCTAAAAACATAAACAAATAGACGTGGGGTAGTTTCACTTCAACAAACAAACCCTGAACTCCTGAAGCCAGATGTTAATAGCGCACACCTTTAATCCTAGCACTTGGGAAGCAAAGGCAGACAGAGCTCCCTGAGTTTGAGGCCAGCCTGGTCTACACAGAAAGTTCCAGGACAGCCAGAGCTATATATGTGAGACCCTGTCTAGAAAGCAAAAACCAAACCAAACCAAACCAAACCAAACCAAACCCAACCCTCAGTGAAGTGTATGTACCACAGAGAATAAATGTTTTTAAGCTCTGAAATGAAACAAGTGAAATGAAACAACTGAACACAAACACGCTACTTTCTCCTACTCTTTTAAAAATGCTAAAGTGATTCCTTTTTGGGTTTGTGAAAGGGAACACTGGATGCTCACGCCACTGGGTGACACGTGGCTCTCTCACAAACCTTGTTAGGATGCTGGCACGTTACCTGTCTGACACCGGGGATGGGGGGGAGTAGTTTAAAGCATTGCACTGTGTTTGTTTACAGAAGTAGACAGCTATAGCATGATCTTAAGGGCTAATCCAGGAATCCAACTAGTATTGATCAAGATAACCTATCAAGCTATACAGCTTTCATCTTATACTGTTTTAAAGGTGTAAATGATGACAGGGTGGCTATACCTTATTTCCAAGTGAACACCAACAGATTTATCTAAAAATAATTAGACGAGAGTCTATGGATACACAACTAGTGAATAACTTGATATATATGCATATAGTATCTATGAACAATCTAACATTGTGTAGAAACGAGTTCAGACGAGAGTGCTGAACCCCTCTCTCCTGAGCTCTAGCCCCGCACCCCTTGGGTGTTCTTCCTTCTACAGAACATATCTAGAACAAACTCCTCAGTCATGGCATTCTGCAGCTCCCCACTTTTATTCTCCATCTCTAGTTTAAAACCTTTGTGTCAACCATGTCACTTTCTTTTTTTTCCGGCCATCTGCAAGCTTAGGCTGAACACTACCTAATTTACAAGAATAACATACTGTATCCCCTTTCTCAAGAAACTTTTAAAAAATTCTGTACTATAATAGATGGCTGCGGTGGCTCACATCTGAAACCCCAGAGTTAGGATAGCTGAGGAAGAATTACAGTGAGTTCAAGTCCAGGTTGTGCCACACAGTGACTTACAGGACTATGGTGTAATACCTCAGAAGAAAACAGAACAATAAGAATAAAAAAAAAATACTAAAAAAATATTGCAAGAAACACAAATAACCATGACATAGTCATGGCACCATGAGGAATGCGCACGTTAAGATGAAATCATTTTGACATCATAAAAATATCAGTTGAAGAAGTCTGACAGATGGGCAAGATGAGGATAAAATAGGGACCAGAATGAGCATGAGGGCTTTGTAGGCTTAGAAAACATAAAAAAAAAAAAAAAAAAAATCTCTGAGATAAGAGAGTTGTACTTAGCACAGTAATGAAACGGGGTTAGAATACAGAGCTCCATATGGAGAAAAGGGGACCTAGGGTTGAAGGGCAAGTGCAGCCCCACTCTGATGACTGCTTTGTGCCTTTCGTTGCAGACGATGTACTCGTGGTGTCTCTTCAGTACAGTAGCTAATGGCCAAGATCAGCTCTGTGGGCAAACTGCGTACTCTTCCATCTCTCTGCACTTATATAAGGAGATTGTGAGGATTAAATTAGTTAACACAGATAAAGTCTGGAACAGTATCTGTCACAAAGTGCTATGTTAAGTATTTACTATGATTATACTTGTACTTTGAAAAGATAAATTTAGCAACAATGTAGAGAAATGGACTGGAATGGAAATTTCTTTGCTGCACCTCCTTTACGGAGGCAGTTCCACATCCAAGGACAAGTACAAGCAGCAGACCTCTTGATTATTTAAATACTCAGCATTAAATGGATCATTTGTTATGTTCAAACCACACCTATGGTCTATTTTATCCTTGCAGAATATAGGTACTTCAAGGATAAATTTTTTCTCATGTGCTTAAATGTAATCCTTCTGAATAGGAGCTGGAGAGATGGCTCAATCCTTGAAACTATCTGTTGTTCATGCAAAAGACCTGAGTTCTGTTCCTGGCACCCACATGGTGGCTCACAACGCTCTTCGACTCCACTTCCAGTGTATCTGGAGTCCTCTTCTGACCTCCAAAGGCACTAGCCATGTAAGGGTACACATATAAAGATGCAGGCAAGCATTCGTGTGCACCAAACAAATACAAAAATCTAAAAAAACAACAAAACAACAACAACAAAAAAACTTTAGGGCTGGAGAGATGGCTCAGTGATTAAGAGCACTGGCTGCTCTTCCAAAGGACCTGGGCTTGATTCTTAATCCCCACATGGCAGCTTATCGTCACCTGTAACTCCAGTTCCAGGGAAGCCAACACAAGTACTCTTCTGGCCTCCACAAAGACCAGGCACACAGGGTGCACAAATATATATGCAGGCAGAAACACTTAGACACTACAACAAATGAAGGATTTTTAATCACAAAATCCTTCTGAATATTCAATACAACTTCCTTTTAAACCACAAACACTTCAATAGCCTTTGTTGCGAGAATGGAAATAAGTCCAGTGATTTAGGAAATACCCATGGGAACAACAAGGAAGATTCATGGTAAGATAAAGACTTGCTTTCTCAAAATGATGCCACTTTATAAAGTAAATGGTCACATTTTTCATAATCTAAGAGGCCTTTGAGACTTACCACTCGAAGTTAGTAAACTGTTTAACATACCTGATCTGAACATGGTCTATTTTTAAAGAGACTTCCAATCATCATAGTTGAAAGCTGACCCAATGATGCCACAAGGTAAACAATATCACACAAACAAATTGCTCTTCCGCTTTCTTATTTGACTCATCCAATTGCGTTTTCTTCACTCTTGTTTAATCTCTGACTATAGGATGTGGTTCTTAGTTGAACAGATCTATATTAAAAGTCAGCAGCTGCTTTTCTGCTCAATATATACAGCAGCAAGTGTCAAAATGCCAAATGTGACATTTTATTTATAGCTGAGTCACATAAAAAAGTGCAGCACGTTTCTAATTAAAAATAAATCAATTAAAACAGTAATTCAAAGAAACGTCTGCCTCAAAACTGAACTGGAGCCTCACACTGAGACTTCACAGAAGCAAATCACACATTTGCTGCTTATTCACAGAGGCATGTACACACATATAATCTCTAGTCTGTCAATTCTGAAGCAGTCAGTCTCAGAGGAACATCGTATTCTACTTGCTTGATGAAAAGCTGGCAAGTACTCAGTGTAACTTACAGTTAACAGAGTGCACAGCCAGACGGTCCAGGAACAGCACTGGGGAGCAACTCCATCCAAGCACTTCGGCGTTACACTATGGTCAAAACACGAATTACCCCCAATTTGGTGTCACAAAGTGGAACGGCTTCTGTAATTAAGCTTTTCAGGGGCTAGCTGCTTATGGAACAAGGAAATTCTACCAAGCACTTAAACAAACAAAAACACCAGTAGCGCATGTTTGAAAACATTTCGAGCAGGTAAATCATCATGAGTACGTAAAGCTGTGACTGTGAAACTGACACCTACATGTGTGAGTAAGAAGTGACAATTACAATGCTGCCACTGGGTGACCTGAGCTCCCAAGGAACAACGGGGATTAAGAAATTATCTAGCTTCGTGTGGTGGTGCACACCTTTAACCCCAGCACTCAGGAGGCACAGGCAGGGGGATCTCTGTGAGTTCCAGGCCAGCCTGGTCTACACAGTGAGTTTCGGGACACACGGGGCTACAAGAGAACCCTGTCTCGAAAAATCAAAAACAAATAAAGAAATAAATAGATGAAAATAGACTTTACTCTCAAGCCAAAATGGCGGGCAGGTGTGCTGGGTTGTTTTGCAATGACAGACTAAGATGTGAAAGAAGCCGCAGGAAAGCCTCCTGAGGAAAAAGAAAAAGAAAAAAAAATGCCTCCTGAGGACCTTTGTAACAACAGGGTTTGCACGTTAAGGGCCCTGGACCTAAGCATGAGGCGTCCGGTCATGCCTAAGGAGCAGGTGGGCAGGTGGACAAATTCTACCTTGAATTCCATCCGAAAGAGCTTATGTGGGAAAGAAAGGAAAGAAGAATGGGTGAAAAGCAATCTGTAGTTGAGATCTGTGGACGTGCCTGGTCTCAGAATATTTTTATGGCGTTGATTCAACACAAATCACAATGTAAGAATTATTTGCTCGCCAATCCTTCACTTCAAATAAATGTCAATTGTAACAGTAAAAATAAGTACATAAATAAAAAAAAAATCATCCATGTATGTCCCAAGTTCTGACTTATAATGCAGTAACAATTTCACAAACAGCAACATTTCACTCTGTGCCCAGATGTCCCCATAATGGTTATGTATGATGCCCACTGGTTAAGTAGACGCAGTGAAGTGACGTGTGGGGAAGAGAAATTCACATCTCTATTACAGAAGCCATGACAACCACAAGAAACTTCTACAACTATCTCAGCCACAGTGATGGCCACACCTGTGATCCCAGCACTTCGGAAGCAGAGACAGAAGATCAGGAGCACGGGGACACATCCTCAGCTCGGAATACAAGAGACCCTTTCTTAGGAGGGGAAAAAGCCTGCACTCTTTCCTAAAAATAATGACATGGCTAACAGGGACAATGGGATGCAAGTACACGCTGCTATTTCCAAACCTGTGCGCCCTTCCTACAATGCTTGGCTGCCTCTTTACCCTCTTCCGGGTACACACAAACCCAAGGCGCTCTCCATGTGGGGGTTTACACGTGTCCCTTTAAGTTCATATTGCCACTGCACTCACTGTGCAGTCCTGCCCAGAGCGGATCCAGCTGGGTTTCAAGCATATTCAGACATACAACGCTGCCTTCAATCTCTTTTTTTTTTTTGGAACAAGGCAGGGCATTAGTAAACAAGTAAAACAGATAATCAAACCTTCAAACAGCCAGGCGTTCGGCTTTCTACGTAATGGCCGTAACCATAACCAAGAGCCAGGCGTGTACTGTGTATCGGACACTGTGCCGGTCCACTACGTGCTGCATTTTTAAAATAATCATCTTTTTGTGGTTATTTTGAGACAGGGTTCCCCTCTGTAGCCCTACAACTCACTCTGTAGATCTGGCTGGCCTTGAATTCAAGAGCTCTGCCTGCCTCTGCCTCCCAAGTGCTGGAATCAAAGGCCTGTGCCACGTTGGCCAGCTAACAATCATCTTTTGAACTAAGCACATCACCCTGATATTACAGCTACGGAAGGGCTAGTTACATACCTCAAACCATGGAAATTCCAAGAATCAAAACCTAATTTCACCTGCTTCCAAATCTTACTGAGCCATGTCACAAGGTAACTAACTGTAAAACAAATCTACATTTATCAGGCAAAAAATCAAACAATGATAATGCTTTGGTCACTTTAGGCTAAACAGCAGTGGGTCAATGTTTGCTATTGTT